CACGCATGCCTAAACAAGAAAAAGAAAGATGAATATGGAACTATGCTCAGCATTTTGTCAAAATTAAAACAAAACAAAATCCACAGCTTCTATACATGCGCGATATATGTACACAACTTGTACAGTTTTGGAATCGAAGAGTGTGGGTGTGGATGTGGGTGGGTGTGGGTATGGGTGTGGATGTGGGGTGTGGGTGTATGGGTGAGAGAATTCTTAACAAGGATCCACACCCAAACAGACAGCGCAAAACCATGCCCTACAGCCACTCACACTGTAACAATCCATCTGTTACTAAACTCCGAGTGACATGCCCATAATGTCCTTGTCTTTATATTATTATTCAATTATACTCCTGTCTCGTTCTTTTTCCATTCTGTATTTTGTACTATTGATTTTTGTCCTTATGTCGCGCTTAGTATTATCAACAGCATGCACTTTATACATGGGTTGCTCTTATCTCTGGTTTGTCATTGTGGACTTTAGAATGGCACTATTGATATGCCATTCTCTAATTCAATAAACCTGCTTGCATTCCGTATTTTTCTGTTATTGTTTGTACGGTATTTCTTAAGATCATTCTATGCTAAGAAATAGTATATAAGGATCAAGAGAAATACAGTATAGGGACGATTCTTGATATTTCAATAAACTACACGCTTAACAACTCGTAAACAATATCTATTGGATCAGAAATCTTCACACCCACCACACCCCACACCCAACATCCACACCCATCTCGAAGACCAAAATAATTTTCATATTCCGGTTGAGTTTCTTTCAGATGCTCATATAGATCATAATAGGCTTGAGAAAGACTATCAGTAATGAATTTTTCAAGTTGAATTGCTGGTTTTTTGGTTTGGCGTTGCATACTTTGAGCAATAATTAAACCTGTGAGTTGCAAATCTTTAACATCCTGATCTGTTATTGATAAATAGAGTGCACGATTCATTTTCGATGCATCAAGTCACCAATTTGATACGCCAGAAAAAACATATTTATTATTGTCAACTTCAAGTTCAGCATGGAAAGCTTTGAGTGGATTATGGGGAGAAAGTTCAGCAAGACCAATTTCATCGAAAACAATAACAGGCAATATGTCAGAATCATTTCATTTTCACAATTAACAGGTTACCATCACATTCTTTGTATATCATATCATCCTCAATCTAATGGACAAGTAGAACGTTTTAATGATACATTTGCTACTCAAATTGCTAAATTAAGTGATTGTGAATCTCAAGCAATTGGGACGAATACTTATATCCAGTTATATTTGGACATAATACTGGTATTTATTTAACAACAAATATTTCTCCATTTGAACTTACATTTGGGCGACCACCAAATCTTTCAACAGATTATCCACCACGAGCATTTACATTTTCAAAATCTAATGACTATTTCCATCAATTAGTCCGCAATTCAAAACATTATCATGCAGCAGTGAAAAAAATATCTTACATCAACAACAACGATCCAAAATTAGATATGACTGTCATCATCAAAATCCTGAATATAATTTGGGTACAACAGTTCTAACTCGAATTTTTACTACAGGATCAAAAATAGATTCAAAACTTCTTATGAAAAAGTTCATCCATTCTATTGGGTTGAAGATATAGAAACTAAAACAATATCAAAAGTTCATATCAATGATATACAACCATTATTGATTCAACAACAATAATTACTTTATGTCTTATTCATCCTAAATGAAAATCAATAAGTCAGCATTTGTTTTGATATTACAATTTAAAAATTTTTGTAATTGTGTTTCAATTAGTAGATATGAATTTTAGTCATCATCATGTATAACTAATCTAGCTGGACAAGATACAGTTATTCATATATTTGTCATGCAATTGGAAAATCAATATTTACTATATAAATAAATGAAATAAAATAAAATAATACTCGAAGTTAAATTCTATTAGTTATATAATAGTTGGACTTTTTCAATACAGCTTTCGGGTTCAACAGACACCTCATCAGTATCAGTATGATGTTGTACTTTTGCCTCTTAAACTTCAAATTCAATCAATAGTAGTGATATGATATACAATGATAATTATATATCATGTCAATATTATATTATTTTATTTTATTTAAGTATATCATATATAGAAGTCCTATTATAATATCATTATATATCATATCACTATTATTGATTTAATTTGAAATTTAATGGGCAAAAATACAACATCATACTGATAGTGATGATGAGTCTGTAGAACCCGAAAGCTGTTTTGAAAAAATCCAACTATTATTTAATTAATAGTATTTTACTTAGAGTATTATTTTATTTTATTTTATTTCATTTAAATATATAATGTATAGAAGTCCTATTATATTATCATTATATATCGTATCAATATTTGTAATTTACGGCCTAAATGGTTACTATTGTCTTGTTAGTATAATTATCACATTTACAATGAATTTTAATTATACAATATGAACACCGAATGAATTTATTTGATAAATTGCTCCTTACCATTAATAATTTATCAAATATTAATCATTGAATTAATTTGACTATAATTTAATGGGAAATATTTTTCAAGAATTAACGTCTTATTTTTTTACGCTTCATCGGGCAACGAGTTTTTTGATGATATTATTCTTTTCAAACTACACTATTAACATTATATGTTATTACTTGTATTATCAAATATATATATATATATATATTTACAATTCATTTCACTCTTCAACCATTCTTATATTATTGGAGCAACAAGAAATAGCTGTATAGAACATCTTGTTTTTGGATCAACTGGCTAGAGTGTTATGTGATTCGTGTTGCTAAGACGAGATCATATTGTTTTTAGAAAATATCTTAGCCTTTTCTTCTCTTTATTCTTTTTTATTATCTATGGAAGGCACGTGTTCTGTTTCTCTGTCTTTTGTGTAAAAATGATGAGCGTGTATTTTATCTAGCAACAAGACTTCAAAAGAAAAATATATCGTGTTAAGTTTCATTTTAACATTCTCTCAGGGTATAACAAGCTGATCGTACCATAAAGTATCGATGAGTCTATTATTAAGCATTTCTTTAATACTATGTTCCTCACTGGTAATTTCCATAGCCGTAGATTAGTGTTCTGTAAGATTGATTTTAGCATAGAATGAGTAGCTTTGTATCTTAACATCGAACGAAAACATTTTTCATGCAGACACACAAGAAAAGTTCCATTGCTTGTAAGTATATATTAGAATAGAAAATGATTTTGTCCTTGATTTTGAACTATATTTGAAGCGTGCTAAAATTGCCCATGTCTAAATATATCATACTCCAATAATAGTATCGCAAATATCTTTCTCAAACGCTTCTATTTATAATAGATTGAATCACACTTAAGATTTTTGCGCAGAAAAATAAACATGAATTAGAAGTTATAACTGCGTAGATACTTTGGCAGGGATTGCTTTGTTTCGCACTGTCGATTCTTGCCAATCTTCATTTTTTCTCATTAACGATTGATCGATAGCGCAGGTAAGAAACGATAAGAAAGAGAAGAAATATTTTAATATGATGGTAGGCATAAGAAACACAAATATTGAGCCATTGAGAGTAAGAGAAAACATGTTTTGATGATGCATATTTTTTCATGAGACAAGACGAATAAAAAAGTTTTATAGTTTCATTTTAAGTTCGTCAACGCTAAATTTTTTAATCGTTAGAATTGCTTTCCGTTTAAAAATGTCTTTTTTTTCTATATTTGATGGATTAGAAAAAAAGAAAAAAATTTCGAGATTTTTTCATGACATAAACAATCGATTGTAAAAAAAATCTATGAAAGAATTAAGTGAAAAAAGATGTCTTAAATCATCGAAAACTAGAATGCACTTCGCTATATATACTATCAACATAGCTCTAATCTCGGACCAACACTGAGATTCTTACTCTAAATATATATGTAAGTCAAATCCTCATTCTCAAGTAACATATAGATGCAAATCTTGCTGCTTGCTCTATTTGGTTTCATTTCATTACATTTGGGTGTCAATACTGATGATACTATCGTCGTTTATTCATCATCCAACAATCAACAAAATTTACAACAAATAATAAATTCTATTTCCAATAATGCAACTATATTGATAAAACCTGGCATCTATACAGAATCGCTTATTATTGAAAACAAAATTGTTAATTTAATTGCTGCAGAATCGAATCAAGTGGTTGAGTTTCAACAGTTGGCAAACGATATCATTTTATTATATCGAAACGGTGGTGGTGGTCAAGTAAAAGGAATAGCTTTTACTGGAATAAATGGAACAGGTATAAGTGGTTCTCGCAATAGTCAAGAAGGACCTCCTGGGAAAATTGATATTTTTAATTGTACCTTTCAAGATATTGGAAATGGCATAATTAATCGATTTTCTCTTATTTCAATCGGTAACCTGATTGTTAATCGAGCACAATGGTTTTCTATTGATCTGCAAGGTCTTCTTGGTGCTCCAGGTACGACTGTTCATGATATTTTCATTTTAGACAGCGGGAATGGATTTATTATACGTGATATCAATTGTGCTGCTTTGATTTTTTGGAATATTGTCTGTCGTAATAATGAAAAATGTGGCCTCATTATTTTTGATACATTGAGTGGTCCATTGACAATAGCTGAAAGCACGTTTGTAAATAATCGTATTGCCAATGTTCATGTTTACAATTCGTAGTCGGTAATTGTTCGCGATAGTCTCATTACAGATGCACAGCCAACATCCGGTAGCAAAATCTACGGTGACGGATTTGTAGCAATGAAGAACAAGGAAACGATCGAATTACGTTCAAGTACTGTATACAATAATTTTCGTTCTGGTGCGAGCGCATGGGGCAGTACATTGAAATTAACAAATAATCAGTTTCGTGGCAATGCATTCGATTTGAACTATGAAACTATGGATGGTATTGCAGGCAGTTTTCAGGATTCATCAAGAAATATTTGTTATGATGATTTTCACGGTAAAAATGCCTGTCATGCTGTGTCGTCATCAGTAGAATCTCCTCCAGCTCTACCTCCGTTAGGTTCACCATAGAAAGCAAGTGATGAATTATTAACTTCTAAAGAACTTAATGTTATTCTCTTTTGACTTTTACTTACATTTTTAATGTACAAAATAAAATTCTAAAAAATTGCTAATAAAGAAATTTATGTGGCAGAAAACAATACCTAATAACTAACTTTAAATTTGATACATCGCATACAGTTCAATTTGTTCTATTAGAATTGCAAATCGATTATGTTTGCTTGAAAACTTTATGCAATTTGTTTATTACATAAATAAAACGTATCATTTGCTAGTCTGTCATTACCTACACATTGAATTTGATGATCATAATTGCAAGCACATATAGTGTGTTCAAAATTTATTCGTCCACCCCTACGATATCATCTTGTTTCACCTACCCTAGTCGAACATCTTGTAAGCAAGATCTTATCAAGATCTTGAAAAGATAATTTTTATGTACACGCCCTGGTTGTAGCAGATAAATGTGTACCTAAGATCGTGGCAAGATCATGGAAAAGATATCATTTGCTATTATCTTCTCACAAGATCTTGAGTAAAAGAAAAAGCGACATCATTAGTGTATTTATTACGTGCCGACTAGTCATTCACCGCTTTTTCTATGCATATATAGCAGTATATAAGCAACATGATTGAACATACAAGACATAAATTTTGAAAATCATTTTTTTCTAAATTATTTCTCGACTATTTATTATTCGAGAAAATGCTGATCTCAATCGATGATCGAGAGAGGACTACACTGAAGTGGTCTGGTGTAAATCGGGTCAATTCAAGGTCAGTCAGATCCCAGCATCTGACTTGCTTGAATTATTCGGGACAGAAATAATTAAAATTAAAATAAATTGCAAAAATATCATAACATGCTTTTATAAAAAAAAATTAAAAATGCGCTGTATGATAGGTTCGAACCACGCATGCAGAATGTGTGATACATTGTGTCCGAAATCATCACACATGCAACACGTTTTATATTCAGAGTGTATCTCAGATCCAATGGATTCGTATCTAAGATCTTACAAATTTGTACCCAAGATCTTACAATTCTGTACCAAAAATCTGTTCACTTATCTGTACCCAAGATCTTGGCTAAGATCTTGCTTAGACGATGTTCGACTAGGGTAGTATACATACACGAAATAAACTAGAGGATTCAGTTTGTTTACTTCACTCTTTATGTTGTGCGTAATGACAAACTGGATTGAATAGCTTGCAGCCACCCTCGACGATGATGCTTATTGAGCTACTTTACATATCCAGAGTGTAACTACTTCAAATACAACACACGCTTATATAGGAGAGAGAAAAGAGAGAGAGATGAACACAAGAAAGCACAATAGAGAGAGGAAAGAGGAAAAGAAGATCAGTGAAATGTGACATCAATATCGACACAGGTGTGGGTACTATTGTCTATTTCAAAATATAATGCGCTCCACTGTTTTTCCGATAACATCAGTCGCTAGAGGTGATACAAGAAGATCTTTTTATCCAATATTGTATAAGACGAAATCGTTTTAAAATCAATCATTTCGGCAAACTATTACAAAAAATACATGAAAACTGACAATCATTTCAATGAAATTTTGGTTTTGATATGTGATTTAAATAGAAGAACTTCAGTTCTATACTTTAAGGTATAACTCGAATAATTATCTTCCAACTTCGTAATGCTAAGGAAAACAAATAGTTTATTTGCTTCCCCGAAAAATATGAATTTTTCGCAATTTTTAAGCAAATTTTCTTACTTTTTGTTAAAATTTCACGGAAATGATAGTCAGTTTTCATTCATTTTTTGTAACAGTTTGCATAAATTATTGATTTTAAAACGATTTCATCTTATACAATATTGAATAAAAAAACGTCCCCGAATCTTCTCTATCGACTGATGAAAATTGTAGCTCTGCAGCTCTTGTCGAACTTGAATTAGTGCAAAACCAGTGGAACGCAATATATTTTGGGACGGACAATAGTGGTATGATAGAGCTTTCGAAGAGAATTCTTTTCATCAAGATTAATTGGAGTTGCTTTGTTTCGACCCACAAGATGTATGTTTCATACAACATCATATAATTTGATTGAGACTATGATAACAATGGAATTTTTCAAACTTCAGAGACTTGAAGACAATTTTACATTGATTCTTTGTCAGGCATGTTCGTCTAGATACTACGTAGATGTTACTATCTTTATCAAAAGAATGTCTTGATGATACACACAAACTATTAACTTTGAAAAAGGTTTTTCAAGATACAACATTTAATATTAATATTTAAAGAGCTGTTAAAATATATATTTTATACATTGAAAATTACACAAGTTATCTATACTGATTTCAATAAGAGTAGTCTATCTATATACAAAAATGTGTTTTAACTTTTAGCAATTCAAAACATTATTTGATTTATATGATATCATTTGAGAACGTTTTCTTCAGCTACACAGCTTTAAAATGATACCAATCATGTATTTTGTTAGTTGACGAGTAAAGAATGTTTAAGTAAAGATACTCTTGAAATTTTTCCTAATAATAATGGTTGTATATTCGTTCATAAACAAGGGATACAAATTTCAATAAAATGAAAGAAGAAAAAATTGCTTGTTAAGATCTATAATAGCTTCTTATAGATGAAAATTCGCATAGTTCGTGAGACTTATATATTTAGGCAGTCTTTCATGAATGTTTACTAGAATTTTATGACTCGAAGACAGTCATTTATTATTGAATACAATAAGAAAATTACGATTGTATATTTAACAGACCATTGGAAAAGATATTTTGAATATCAACACTAAAATTACATTTTTCACAAGGCATAATGAAATAAAATTGACTTATGAAATGCAAATAAATATTAACTATAATCTGCTCTTTTCCTAATGAAAAGCAATAAAATAGAGATCATTCTATACAAACACTTGTTTCTGACTTGATTACTGCTTGTGAATCGTAGCTAAAAATGTAGGCGCTGTAAATAATATCTAATGCCCGGAAAAATTTGCACTCTGATCGAATGGACAATAGTGGAAAGTACTATGCCTAGGTCGAATAATATGACACATAAATGGTAGTATTCATACTGTGCCATGAAAGTGCTGCATATAATAGCTGTTTACATGCTGTAACTACATTGTATTAACGTCACATCATTAGCTAACATTTAATCATATACAATCAATAGATATTGCTGAATTCTATCTAATGCAAGCAAGTTTTCTCGACCAAGAGTCTTTAGGAACCACTTTTTGATAAAGACTTTTATATTTATTTGTGATCTATTAGAATTTTCTTTGTTAATGCGAGATCCCGTTTAACTTTTTGAACAGTTTCTACATACCAAATGATAGCTTCTTTTGCGCGCTATCAGATGCAATTAGCTGCTTTTATGAGAGAAAGGTGTAATAGAAATTCATCTCTCTCTCTCACTTCGCTGAGAAAAAGCTCATGTAAGTACAATGGCAAAAGACTATGTACGGTCGTATAAAGCGGGAATATGTTGTATATACGGTAATAAAACAACATGCAAACGGACCGTATCTCAGCGTTCACGATCGTAAACACTCTGTAATCAGGCCGTAAACGAGTACCGTACAAAGCATCAAGATGGCACAAATGAGATCCACTCCTGCAATGACTGTCATTTTGGAAAAACAATACGAAACATTTACGATTTCGTGTTAAATTCTCACGGCTTTTTACTAAACACGAGATCTTAAAAGTTTCGTATTTTTTTTACAAAACCTATTTTTGCTGTACGGAACTTGAAAAAGGTTTT